AAATGTCTCAGATGACACACAGCTGTGCTATCAGCAGGTGAATTGCTGTTCACCTTCTATGTTACACTCAGTTCCATTTTCATATTCCTACCTCCTCACTATTTGGAAAAAAAAAATAGAAACTGAAAAAAGACTCCGTGAATTCCACACTGGCAGAGTGTAACAGAAATTCTTTACTCTAACATCTCACAAGTCTTCCCACTACATCATTACCTTTCTAATGAGTAACCAACTCCTTAACAATGAAAAAAATGTAATCAGCAGTAATAACTATATAAACACATTTGTAAGTTAGATTTTACTAACCAATACAAGTGCAAAACTGACAAAATAGTAGAAGCTACTGTAAGAAGCCATCATAAACCAAAACACTGAAAGAAAAAACCTCTCTATTTCTTCCACCAACACAACAAAATAACAGAAAGCACAGCAATAACAACAAGCTAACAAATTCTCAAACTACAACAAAAAAAAGCCATATTCAAACACAACAACCATAAAAACAATGAAAAATTTACTTACACAACACAGAAGATTCACTTACCCTAAAAAAACCTCCACTACACAGAAACCACCAGTCCAAACCTCTACCTCTACTGCCAGCCCTTAAGTGAGGTCTGGGAAGGGTTGGATCCTGGCTCCTCCCCTTCCAATCAGTCAGATGCACTGCATGCACCTGAGCTCCCTGGGTTGGCCCTGCCTTCCCACCAGGTGCTCAATCACTGCTTCAGGCTGTGACTCAGCACTACAGCAACTACAGCACTACAGCAAGCAAACATCTCTTAATTGCCTTTGGTCTCTGGTGAGCTGTGTAATAGAGTAATTGGTATCTCAATTCTATATTAAAAATTTTGAACGTGCTGTCCTTTTTCAGAGGTGTAACAAAAATGCTGAGTAGCAAGGCAGGGCCAACACAGTTGAGCTCAGGTGCATGCAATGCATCTGGCTGATTGGAAGGGGAGGAGCCAGGATCCAGCCCTTCCCAGACCTCACTTAAGGGCTGGCAGTAGCCATGGCAGCTTTTCTTGCTGGATATTTGTGTCTTAACTGTTGCTTTTTAGAAGTAAGTAGCTCTTTTCTGTTGTTTCTACTGATGCTGTACCTGGGCTCTTTTTGTTTTCCTATACCTGCAGTCTTTACTATTCTTTTATTAGCATCCCATTGTAGTTGCCTTAAAAATTGTTTTATAATGATTTAAATTCATATAATTTAAACTTTGTTGTATAAGGTTTATCTTTTTTTTTGTTTGTTTATCACGTGCTAGGTTAGTCTATCAGTTCATAAGTTGTCTCAAAAAGTAAGTACTTCAAGGAAAAAACAGGAGTCTACATGATTCTGTTTTGCCAGGAAAAAAAAACTTGCAAGTATCTTAAAGTTGTATTCTGTGCCATGAGGCATTTATTTGCTCTTCTCTTAATAAGAGGGATACTCAAATATTGTGTTGTATGATATGAAGTACTGCTCAAGACACTTGGTGTAAGAAAATAATGCATACAAGTCACTTTAGATGGTGAGGGCTCCAGGTGGGGCAGTATGCTGGAAAGCATTGCCTGTAACAGGTTTTTCCTGTTTTAGTCATTCAAGCTGCTGTGGGATTTGGCTGTTCAAAAGCTATTGTTTTTCACTTCTTTATCAGACAGAAAGGATGCTTACATGAGAACTTACTGGTGTACTTCTAAAGGCAAGAACAATCAATTGGTGCTATCACCTGCAGGCTCTTGGGTTGTATTTGCCTGCTGCGTTCATCTTGCCAGTGTGAAACTGTCTCAGATGCTTGTTAGGCCTGTCTCTAAGCCTGGCCAGGAGCACTGCATGTTGTAAGGGCTGCAGTCAGTATTTGTGCTTTAATTCTTCGTCTCCTTTTTCATTCTAGTGAGTTGTTGCTGTTTTCTTGGTTTCACTCAAAACTTCATATCACCTTTTGAACACGAAGGAAGCAGAGCACTTTGTTTGACCAAATCATTATATGGCACCACAGTTTTGCCTTTCCTTTGACAGTGACAGATGTAATTGTAGGAAGTAAAACATGTGCAAAGGCTGCACTAGTACAGAGGTCCCTGTGGGACATCCCAACTCAGTTCTGCTTTCCTAGCTTTAAATAGTCATTTCATAAAACTGTAGTTATTCTTGTAGCACCCTCTAGTGTTCCTAGCAGTCCTGAAGCACAGTTGTAAAGATTGTGATCTTACCTGAAATCTCTTCCTCCCAGTTAAAAACTACTGATTTACCCCACTGAAGGAGCTTTGTAGAACATCACATACCCCTCTTCTATATTTAACTCTGATCGGTCATGTTCTATTTTCTTTCAGAAGGCAATGAAGTTCTAGTTTTCATACAACACAACAAAGGAATTAGGCCTCTCCACCTTAATAATGCAATTATAAGAGATAATCATAGAACCATAGGATGATTTGGGTTGGAAGGGATCTTTAAGATCACCTGGTTGCAACCTCCTGCTGCAGGCAGGGATGCATCCCTCCAGACCAGGCTGCTCACAGCCCCATCCAGCCTGGCCTTGGATGCTTCCAGGGAAGGGGCTGTAATGAAGACTGCCAAGTGTAAGATTCTCTTTTACTCCTTACAGTCCTTGAACTAGTACAAAAAAAGCATAGAAGACCAGTCAATATTGCGTATATCATCCTATGATCTTGATTTATGACAATAAGAGAGCTAAGACCCACTGTGTAGTTTAAGAACAGTGTGTCATGTTCTGAAGTGTGCTGACTACCTGACCTTCATGCTCAAACTTAAAAGCAGCATGCAGGCTACAAGCAGGGAGCTTTTTGTAGCCGCAAGTGTTCTGAGTGTTCTTAAGCAAAGAGAGGCACAAAACTAGCCATCCTACTAAGCTGCATGACTGAAATAAAGGAAGTTTTCAAAAAAGCAAACCTGCTGAATAGTAACTGGAGTGCAAAATTATTATTTCAAAAGCTTCTGCCCTTAATTGTATTACTGACTTCATGCATTGAAATGGTGCAGTGGTTGCCTTAAGCAACTTCATTCTGCTGCCCAAAGTCAGGGCTGTCCACTGTACTATTAACATGGGTTTTGGTGTTGATGCAGCGAGTTTGCAAACAACAAATACACAATCTAGACTCAGTAGGTAAAGCAAACGAGCATTATCTGTTTAGTATGTGCTTTTGCCTGGATGGGTTTTCATGTAAGTTGAGAAAGAAATACAATTACTTCCCCATACAACATGTAGACTTTAAGAACAAATTTGTTTTCTCCAGTTGGTTTATGGAACATTTCTCACGAAGTTCTGCAAGGAATTCTAAATGCAAATGGCTATTCACTGTATCAACTATTCTCCTGATTCACTGCAGTGCATACAATAAAATGATCTACCTTGTAGCACTTTATTCTGGAAGTCGCAGCTCCTCCTAACTAAGCAACCTGCTGAAAGCACTGCAGTCCCTAACAGGACCAAGATGTAATTTTAGAAGAAACATTAGCAAATTCCTTTGGCTTTGTGCAGATGTGCCTACAAATTTTATATTCTCTATGTAAATCTGAACAAATGAGAGAACCACACAAAGGCCACACCTCAGCCACATGAACACAAATTAGAACGGCCAACAGCTGAGACTGATTTTGCTCCTTGCTCATTTGAAAACCACAACCCAGATACGTCTTGGTAACTCTCACTCCCCAAGCCTCCCCAAAATTCTAAGGAGCTGTTCTGCTTGTGTCTGTTTAAATTCATCAATCTGTGTGCTTAGCCCAGGTTTTGGCCTCTTTAAAAAAAAAACAAAACACTTTATGAGACTGAACTAAAAAGCCAGATGACATAGATTTAACAAAAACACACTAAAAACACTTTCCAGGACTACCAGAGAACTTAAGGCAACCACTTTGACTTGGAACACAACAATCTTCACTTTTTATTTTTTTTTTAATATGGAAACTTTGGGAAAATATTATCAGTGGTTTCATGAAGTGAGACCTGACCACAGGTACCGTGCACAACCGTCTGTTTTAATTTAAGAGGTGAGGCTTTCAGGATCAGATTGCTTGATTCACAGTGTGGTAGCAGGAAGACTTCCAAGGAGATGGAAAATATCAGTTCAAAGTGTGAAAACAGGAGAAAGGAGTAAAAAAAAAAAAAAGCATGGGATAGGAGGAATGACAGCAGCACTGAGCCACTGGTACGGAACGTGGGCTCCCAGGGCGCAGTCCCTGCTTTCAGTGTAGGGCTCCCAATTCCTCTAGTACAAGTTGGTCACCCTTCACCATTCCGAAGGTAACACAGTCACTGTTGACATCGTTTCCACAGCATGTGGAAGTTCTGATAGCAGATTTTTGTATGTAGTCATGCTAACTGTTAAGTAATGTGTCCCACATACAGGGCTGCTCTGACCGTGCACTGCCCTGACCTGCTTGTGCCACCGCCTGCTATTTATCACCTCAGCTTAACGGGTTTTGGGAGCTCCGTGTAGTCTATTACTCAAGATCTTTGGAGCTTATGACTAACGTCATAAAGTGATGGGGTTATATTGCTGTTGCACACGTTTATTAATAAAAACGTGACAGAGTCACAGCACAGTCGGGGTCAGAGAGAAGGGAGCTCCGGGATCACCCCGTGCATCGCCTGCTGCAGCAGCTCGCAGGCGGGCCTGAATATCTCCAGAGAAGGGACCCAGGCCTGTGGGCAGCTCGCTCCCGGACAACAAAGTCCTTCTTTGTGTTGGTGCGGAACTTCCCGCGTTCCAGTTCGAGCGCACACGTTACTTTACCTCGGGCTGTTTAACAACCGACTAAACGCTCACCAGAGATCTGCAACAGCGGCATCCCGGACGGCCGCGCACGACGCGCCAGCCCCGCTCACCTCGTCCCTCAGCGCGAACGCGCTTCTCGCGCGGGACTGCTGAGGGCGCCGAGCCCGCCCCGCTGTCCCTCACGCGCACACGGCCGTTAAGGGGCGCCGCGCACGCGGCAGGGCTGTGCGCGCAGCGGGCGGAGCTCGGCGGCGGAAGGGCGGCCGCGCGGTTCCGCTCGAGGAAGATGGTGGCGCCGGCGGCGCTCCGCGTGGTGCGATGCGGCGGCAGCGCCCTGCACGGCGCCCGGGCCGTCTTCTCCGTCGGTGCCAGGCAAGCGGCGGGCCGGACTCCGGGTCGGAGCGACCCCGCGAGACGCTGACGGCTTTCCTTCCTCTCAGGTTCCTGCTGTGCGCCTCCGGCGACTTCGTGAAGATGTACAGCGTGGCCACCGAGGAGCTGGTGCGGCTGCTGCGAGGCCACGGCGACCTGGTGACGAGCGTGCAGCTCGCCCCGCACAACCACCTGCAGGTGGGCCGGGCCGGCAGCGGGGTAGCGCTCGGGAGGGGGGCCGTGCCGTGCCGGGCCGTGCCGTGCCGGGCCGGGCCGGGCCGGGCCGTGCCGCTGTGCGGGCAGGAGCGCTTTGCGATGGCGGCTCGGAGCTTTTCGTGTTCTGTGTTTGCGGTGGTTCAGCCGCGTCTAATCTCAGTGCGTTGATCGGTGCTTCAGCGCGAAGTGGGGATTTGATGTAAAGTCTGACTTTGGCGTATTGCTGTAACTTGGGTTGGTTTTTTTTCAGCTGTATTCTTCCTCCCTTGACGGCACCATTAAGCTGTGGGACTTCACAGATGGGATTCTCATTAAAGTACGTTGAGCTGTTCCTGTTGAGTAAATATCAGCGTTATTCTTGGTCTGTAGAAGATGATGTGCTCTTGCGTAGTAATTGTTGGACTTGTGTTTCTCCCGCAGACGTTCACTGTAGGACATCAGCTGCTCGCGCTGTATGCGCTGCCTGCTGCTGAGGACTCTGTGTTTGTTATCATTCCAAAGCGGGGTGCAAGAGGTATGGTGTGCTTTGGTTCATCCTTACAGTGCTGCTGTCAGCCTGAGCTGTGGCACCTGGCTGAGCGGTATGATGTCAGGTGCTTTTGTGTATTAGTCTTGATGTTCTGTGAACGGCAGAACATTGGAGATGTGGCAAATCTTTACACAGTCCTTACTGTGGCAGTACGTACACACAGTATTCGAGACTCCTCTCTCAATTTAACAGCATATGTGGATAGTTTTTTCCTGGGATCTTCCTGAAATAAACATAAACGTACCTTGGCCTCACTCTGTTTCTGCAGATGTCACTTCAGAGCGTGTTATGCAGTGTTTCTTGCTTCCTGCTCACAGCTGCACCAGAATCCACTATTCTGACCTTGAACTTCAACACTGTTGTTTGAATTAGAATATCCAACACAATTATTTTTTGAAAAAGTATTCTATTCAAAAACACTGAATGTACTCATGTGTTACAGTATAACGGTTGTGAATCTCCTTTATAGTGAACATGCATCAACTTGTATGTAGAAGTCTTTGGATAACAGATTTTCCTTTGGCCAGATACGTTCCAACTGGTCTCAGTTAAGCTGACAAAAGCAGCAGGCCAAGACATGGAAGCCAAGGAATTGTCTGTGGTTTTGGAGGGTGTGGATGCGTCCCCAAAGTGTACTGCATTTGGAAGAGAGGTATATCCACTTCTGGGAGGATTGGCTTCTTTCTTTACTTTTCAAGTAACCTATATACATTTATGTGTTTATAGAAGTACAGCAGAACTTCAGACTCATTAATCCAATTTTTTTTTTTTTTTTAATAATAATTTCATGAACCTTTCCTTGGCCCTATTCTGTTATTTGCATGCTCTGATTTCTGCCTAAGCTTTTTAAGCTCCATTTGACAAAACAAATGATTTTGTAATCTGTAAGTACTATGTTTTCTTTAAAGGAAAAAAAACTATAACAGGAAACAATTTGTTTAACATCAGCTTCTATGTTGTCTCCATTTTTAAGTACTTTGTAGTGAGACACGATTTTCTCTTTTTTTTTCACATGTGAGTACACAATCTGTATGTTCTAACTTCTTGAATAATGTTTTATTGTAACAGGGTGAATATGTGGCATCAGTTAAAGATGTTACTCTCCAAGTTTACTTCTTTAAACAGAAGCAATTGAACAGGTAAGAATGAAGATGCCAAGTTGTATGGTAACTGTTGAGTCATGGCCTGAACCACTGATTGAGCACCTGGGGAAAGGACTGAGTCAGCATTGGGTGCACAGGTGAAGGCAATTCAGCTGTGTGACCGGAAGGGGTGGAGCCTGGCTGCACCTCTTAGACCTCACTTAAGGGTTGACTGCCACTGGAGAAGGATCTCTTTCTGGAGTTCTCTTCTTTGTGGAGTTGTCCTCTGTGAGCCTGGGTTTTTAGTGATGGGTGAGTTCTCTTTTCCTTGTTGGTAGCATCTTTCTGTCATGTTAATTCCTTTGTCATTGTGCTTCCTGTATCACCTTTTCGTCGTGTTGATCTTTCTGATAGTTACACAAGTATTGCTTCTATCTGATGTAATAACATTCATATTTACTGGTGAGGTGTATGTATGTAAACATTTAAGTTGATGTTGGGCTGAAACAAGTGATGGTTTGGCCAAGGAGAAGTAGGCAGAGAGGGTGGAACACATAAAAGGCTTGCAGCTTGATTGAGTCCGTACTAATAAAGTAAATCTAATAAAGTAAAAAACTTGTCACTAATTTTTTTTTTTAGTACATATGTTGGTTTATAACAAGTTGGAGGCGCTTAATTTTGCTACTCAGAATTATTTTTATGTGCATTTGTGCATCAGTTGGTCTTTTGGAAGCTTTGTTTTTAAAAAAGGAAAAAAAAACCTTGTGTAACTGAAGTTGTTGTTTTCCTAACTTCTGAAGGTTTTCTCTGAGAGCAACAAATAAAAAAGGTGGAAACAATGTCTTTACTTGTGTAGCCTGCCATCCTCAGGAGGATTGTATTGCAACTGGCCATGCTGATGGAAAGATTCGTCTCTGGTAAGCTTATTTTGATTTGATTATTTGACTAGAATATTTGACTATTTACTTTTGTACCCTGACCATGGGAATTAAGTGAAACCTGAGCAGAGCAGCTGTTAGTTCTTACCATTGTGATTTTCAGAATTCAAAAAAAGCAAAGAGCGGAAAATCCTCTGTAATTTCCTGTAATACTGATGTTGACTTCAGGGTACAGCTTCAGTTAAACATGAAGGGGGAAAATATTCCTTTTAAGCTACACTGCTATTTTAACATGTATTTGGAAAGGTCAGAGCAGTTCGAATTAGTGGTTGTGGGCATCTGGAGTCCTAGTGACAGCACACTAGGGAAACTGTGTGGTGAAGAATTATCAGCTTGCTAAGTATGGTAGTGATGTATTGGGTGCATCAGGAAAGCTGCTGGTGTGATTCCTTCCTTTTGCACCATGTGCATACATGAAACTGTAGTCAGGAGATTGGAAAAAAGGATGGTATTCACTATTAGCATTTGTTTGCTCTGTTGTCAATGACTACCTTTAAAGAACTGTTCTCTTCCTTCTCCACAGGAGGAATTTCAACCACAAAAAAGAGTACACGTTCTCTACACTGCACTGGCATCACGATAAAGTCCTGGATCTAGCTTTTTCTGTAGAAGGTGAGTACAAAAATCATTAAAAGATTAAGAGTTACAAACAGAGAAATTAACAGAAGTTCAAAATAATCCATTTACTAACAAACTAATTTCCAGTATTCTAAATATGTTGAAGGTGGATCTGAAATAAGTGAGAGCAGCCGTACTTTCTTTGTAATACTTTAACATTCATAATGTCAAATAGCTGCCTGTAATAGAAATGCTCAGTCTGAAGGAGTGATTGAGCACCTGGTGGGAAGGCATGGCCAACCCAGGGGAGCTCAGGTGCATGCAATGTACTGCAGTGATTGGAAGGGGAGGAGCCAGGATCCACCCCTTCATAGGGGATGGCATCCACCCCTCATTTAAGGGGTGGCAGTGGAGGTGAGGGTATCTCTTGCTGGAGTTCTCTGCCTACTTGAGGCCTTCCAAAAGTAAGTAGCTCTTTTTGTTCACTTCTGCATCTGTGGCTGCTGCATTTGGGCTTGTTCTCATTCTCTGTAGCCAGAGACTTTTCCACCCTGCTATTATCATCCCATGAGAGCATTATGCTGTCCTTTAACAGAATGTAAAATCTAACCAGTTATATCTTCTACCCTGCCTGCCACCTTCTTCTCTTTCACCAGCAATACTCATGAGTCCTTTCCAGAGTCTGTCTGAATCCAAAGTAAGTCAGGCTTGACTGAGCTTAAACCTAGTGGTGGAAATCCACTTAGTATTCATGTGAATGTATTTCTTAGTGTACTTCTTACTGCAAAATACATATTGTAGAAGGAAAACTAACAAGCTGTGTGCTAACACAATACTCAACACATTCAACGAGTGATAGAATTTAATATTCCCAAGCATTTCTTTAAGTTCTATTGCAGGCAGAAGTTCTTGTTATTTATGTAAGTTTCTGTGTCAGTTTTCCTTGGGATAACAAGAAATCTACCTGTGTGTATTGCCCAGGCTAGATATGAAGAATAATTCATCCATGTGTGATGCTTTAAGAAATGTTCTTCAGAAATCTGTGTGTCTGTCATTGTAACTGGTGATATTCTTAAAACCTCTAACTGTATGTTTATGATCTGAAAAGGAACCAGCTTGCTGAGTGGAGGAGTTGAATCTGTTCTAGTTCAGTGGCACAGTGGATCAGACTGCAAGAAGGATTTTCTTCCTCGCTTGGGATCTGCTATTGAATACGTCTCCATCTCACCTGATGGCACTTTCTATTGCACCTCTCATGCAGACAACAGTATGCCTATGTTTTAAGTACCACTTACTGCAAATCTATACGGGCTCTGTTTCGTTATTTTCGGGTGAATTAGCAAGGTGTTGTATGGATGTTTAAAGCAGTGTTTTGCTTTTTCTTTAGTTGTGCACATTTGTCTGAAGTCTTTGTGTGAGGTCTGCTTGTAGCTTAGCTTCCCATCTTGATTCAGGAGTCTGACAGATTGTGAGAAGATGAATGTCTGTCCCACATATATATGTGTATGTAGGATTAAATAGAGATAACTACAGTCCCTTATCCACCATTGATGCAGTTACTTTGTGGAAACTTTTTGCAAGACTTTATATGCTTTTCCTTTCAGGAATTACAATAATAAACAGCAACCTGAGATTTTCCAAAACCATTCAAGGGCTAGTTAAAGGTATGTGCACTGAAGTTTATTTTCTGCTGATGGTGTGGAATGTGTCACTTCCAATCAGAGGTCACTTTCACCTTGTTTTCATTCCCAGCCAGGGATATCAAGACAGGTCTAGTGGTTGATCCTAGAACCAAAGCTTTGGTCTTGAATGGAGAGCCTGGCCACTTGCAGTTCTACTGTCTCCAAAGTGACAAACAGCTATACAGTGTAAGTTGGGCAGGCCTGTGCTAACCTTTTCATTTCTTAATTCGAGTTATACATGAGAATTTCTTTGAGGACTGTACATAGCAAACAAGGAAAAGCCATTAACTGTACTATGGGACTGGATTCCAGCCTGAGATTTTTTTTTCCTTTATGAGAATCTTCTATTCTAGAAGAGTATTTAAGGTAAACCTTGTTTGGAAAGATGTTTTCACCTGCTAATGTCCTATTCCTCTCATAAGTTCAATGTTTAAAAAAAAAGAAATCTGTAATTTCCCATGTAATACGCTTTTAATGTTGTGTTTTTTTTTTTTTTATACTACAGCCTGCTCAGTTCTAATTGGTGCTTTCTAGGTGTCCTTTCTCCTTTGCTTTGTGAATGGTATCTATAAATCTGCACTCAAACTTGGAAACTCTGATTTGTTTTGCAGTTGGATATTGTTCAGCAAGAGTACATCCATCAAGCAGGCTTAAACCAATCTGACTTGTCCAGAGTTGCGTTTAGTGCTGAAGGCAAGTGGTTAGCAACAGTAGAAGAGAGAGAAGAAACTGACCTAGAGTTACAGTTGAAGCTGTGGCTCTTTGATGAGAAAACACAAAGGTAATGATAATTGGAGCTGGCCCTGTGGGTGTCAGAGTTTGTATTTTAAGTATCATGCAAATGTCTATACAGTCCTTGTCTTGAAAAGGCAAGGTTTTCCAAATAAACTGATGGCATTATTGAGAAGACCTGAGGAAGGGATTACCGTGTGTGTCACACACGTTTGTAAAAACCCATAAACAAAATTAATTGCAATTGTGAATACTTGCTTTGAATTTAATTGTCTTATAATTGCCTAGGCTATCTGGGAGCTCTAATTCCTGTATTTATTTGATACTAAAATAGTGGACTGGATGAAATGGATCTATTTGGTTTTTCCAGTCCCTCTCAAGTCCATTGTAAATTGATCAGTCCCTTTAGGTTACATGAAATAATTACTTCAATTTTTTGGGTCGTCTTCAACGAATATGCCTCTGGTTCATACATTTCTGAACTTCTCACTTAATAATATTTTTTTAGTCTAAAAGTTACCTTAAAGAGAAAACAAAGCAAAATAATGCTGACGCGTGTAGTAGAAGTGTGACTGATCAACTAAGGAAAAGGTTGCCCTGATTTCAGGCTGGATGTTTGAGACTGGTGTTCATTTAAGTAATAATTTTAGCTGCTAGGATGCTGTCTGTAGAGGAGTGCAACTAATTAGATAAGATGGATTTGTAAATGCAATAGCACTTCAGCTATCTAATTAGAAGTTTCTTGATTCTTTATTTGCAGCTTTAGACTGAATACTAGAGTAAGCATGCCTCATGAGGATCACGTAACGGCGATGTGCTTCCGTGACATGGATGAAATGGAAGATGACTCTCTGATGCTGGTAACAACTGGGAGAGACTGTGTGTTTAAGGTCTGGGTGATACTAGAAGACGCTGATCCGGAGGGTAAGTAAGGTCAGAGCATAATATGCTCTTATTTGTCTCTTTATAACACGCTATAGAAATGCTGACCCAAAGTTAATCCCTTCAAAACTAGGTCATCTATTCCTACCCATTTATTCATGCTATTGCGTGTTCTCCTGAGCATCCTCTGCCATGGACTTCTGCTGTAGTTTTACAATATGAGATTTGCAGTGTAAGGAACCTCCTTATAAAGACTTCACAGAGCTTGCTGCAAGAGGGCATGGCAGCCTATATTCATTATTTAAAAGATTGTTTTTAGCATGGTTTCTCCACTCTAGGAAACTGGAGTGGGTATAGTCTTTTAGAATCCGGATCAAAAAAGGATATAGGGCAGAGTTATGTTCAGTGGCATACGTAGAAGTACACATGGATATTGAATTCCCTTGTATTTGACCAGGGAAGGAAAGAAATGTGTAGCCAGAAGGATTTGGCATGCCACAGCTTTTTTTTCAGCAAATGATAAAGTAACTAGTTAATATGTAGACTGTGTTGACGTTTTTATTTGTAGCTAGTTGCTCGCTGTGCCGCTAGATGGCGCTGTGCCATTAAAGCAATGAACTCGGTCTGGCCTTGAAGGTCTTTTCAATGCCAGCTCACAGCTTTTACATAAAGGACGTCTGAATATGGGCTGAACTTATTTTCTTCACTTTCTTTATCTTGTTTGTAAGTTGTTAAGGTCGGCTGTACAAGTTTGCTGATACTCAAAATGTGTGTTAGGTTGTAAATGCATCCATTTGTTTCTGTTACTTTAGAGTAATTATCAACTGTAGAAAAAGGACCTAAGCAGAACAGGCTGGCAGGTTAAACAAGACAAGAAAGGAAACTGACAGGTTGCTTTGCTATCCTGAAGCTTTGTGTAAATGAGCCACAAACTTTGTTGGAATCAAATGCAACCTGTGTTCCAACTTATAGTAATGCTCGTGTTCTTGATACAGTTTTGGTAGAACAAGATACTTAAAAATAGTATATGTTGAACTGGAGTACTGGAGTATCTTTTTTTTTTTTTTAATCTGTCTGCCTGTTTGTTGGCTAAATCTACCCTTATGCTGTACCATATCAATCGTGGGATTCACTGTTGAGATGCAAAACCTATTGGATGCTCCTTGTAGGTTCTTTGTACTTCACAAAAAATGATGCCTTCTGAAAGAAAACTTTCTCTTGAGCCAATTTTTCAGTGCTACTATTTGAACTCTCCGTGTATGGACCTGAATGTAATGAATTTAATTATTCATTGCAGCACAGCTGAGTTTGAGTTGGAGCTGTGACTTCGTAGGCAGCTACCATGGCTACCAGGCTACCAACTGCTGTTTCTCAGAAGATGGCTCTTTGCTTGCCGTTAGCTTTGAAGAAACTGTCACTGTATGGGATTCTAGTACTTGGGATCTGAAGTGTACATTTTGCCACCCACCTGGAAAAATAAGGTATGTTTTTCATCTGGCTTATTCTTTCTTATTTGAACTTCTCAGAACAGAAAGAATTGATTTGTAGTGTTTTAAGATTGAATATGTTCATATAAGCATTGAGTTAATAGTCTAAGTTCATATATAGGGAAGCATAATTAAAAGTTCCTATTAATCTGGAGGTGAATCCAAGTACTGAAAGAATAAACGTCTACCTTAAATTTATGCTCTTGTTAGTATTTTATTCTTGAATACTGATAAAACTCCTATTTGGAAACTGTAAAGCTGTACTGATGTTGTTGTCTGCATGACAGTGTGTGTGTCTTGACTGTTGCTAGCCTTTGCTGGAAAGTCTGTGTTTGCCCAGCTGACCAACCCAGCACTTTCTGCTAGGTGCTACAACAAGAAAAGATATCCAGAAGGTCTAGAGACCATTTTGTTTTATAAACATAATGAGGAATGGCATTCATCTGTGATGAGGCAAAAAGGTAGAGACTCAATGAATAGGACAACTTCTATACAAGCTTTCTAGGGCTGTGCAGTTATTGCAGTGGTTTGTGATCCAGGCAAAGTACCTATCTTAGCAGTTGCCTTAGAAAAATAGGCCAGTAGGTGGCCTCGCTGCTTCATCCAGCTAAGCTCTGTGCCAGATCTCTAAACAAATTCTGAATGGGGAAGATGCTACAACTGAATGGTAGCATTCTCTTTCAGTTGTTGTCTAGCTCTCCACACAGTTGCTGGGATAATGTGAAAGGTTCTAAATATACTCAGAGAACATGTAGAATGAAAAGCAAAACACTGCTTATTTGCAGTGTTTTAAAGACTGAAATCAAGTATCACTGAAAGAAGAGATTTGTTGTCAGTTTTGAAACAAGTCTGTTTGGTTCATACTGATTCTCCAAGAGTAGTAATTGAGAAGTATGATTCTAAAATGGGTTCTGCAGGAAAAACATGAGAGCGTGTTAGCTCTCCATTGCATCTGAGGGAAATGTCTCTTTTGGCAGCTTGGTACAGCGGCAAGTTTTTCCCTTGGAAGTTTTTCCTTTTGAAGCCTTTGCTATATGCTGTATTAAAACAAAATAAGGTACTCTGTGTACTCAAATGACTGTTATGTAAGTTCAAATGGCTATGCTTTAATGAAGAGAATTTGAAAGCATTCTCATGTAGCATTAGAAATCTGTTGTTTGATTGTGAAACAAGAACAAGAAATTCATGTGATTGAAAACAAATTGCTTGTTTTCTTCAGGCAGAGCAACCTACGAGAATGTAACTGATTCTATTTGTTCCATTTCTCTTCTTCTAGTGTTTAGCACAATGCTAGGTGTTCTAGAGGTGTTTTTTTTTTTTCCCTAACCCCAGTGTTAACACTTGATAGTAATTAAAGATTTGTTGCTAATTTATGAACCTAAGATTGCTGCTTCAAGTCAGAATGATTTATGAACAGTTTGAAATTCTCTGTACTCCTTACAGATTCATGCTTACTTGAAATCTCCCACATCTATGTCTGGTAGTTGTGTGTGAAAGTTCCTTGCTACTGGAGGTGAAAGCAAAATGCGAACTTGTCCTGATTAACTATCAGAATTAAACCTTTAATGAATGTTCTTGTGACTTGTGAATCAAAACTGCATGGAGAAACAGAAGTTGAAGATAATGGACTTGTTTTGACTTTTTACTTCTGCAGGACCATCTGCTTTGGGAGACTAACATGTTCCAAATACCTGATTGGTGCCACTGATCATGGCTTTCTCTGTTGCTGGAATCTGCTCAGTTGTGCATGTAAGATGAGCTTAAATGCATGCTAGAGTGAAAGTAATGATGTTTAACCTTTGAATGTGCTATGATAACTTAAAGTAATTCTAGTTTGATTCTAGATTGACCCACTGTAAAATGGCCTGTGGAGTTGTAATGTTTTTTGTACCTGAGTATAGATAGTACCTCACTCAGTATGCATGTGCTTAGCAAATCCTAGTTTAGATGATGGATAACCCAATAGCAGCTAGTATTTCCTTCATTTTTACAAATGGTTGATCATGTTTTCATTAATCTGAGGATAACTGAAGTTGTATGGCTCTTGCAGAGGTTAAGCCTTGTGGGTCTTTTCCATTTTAAGTTTTATTTGGCAAAGCACCTGAATAGAATTCTTTTTCACATCCTGCTATTGCTGTGTTTGCTTTTCAGTGGAATGGAGTGCTCACCTCAACGTCGTAGTTCTGCAACCTGATCCCTTTTCAGAACATATTGCTGCTTTCTCCTGGCTCTTTAAAGAGTCCAGCTGTGAGTACAAAGGCTTTTTTGACTAGTAGTAGTCAGTGGAACTTAAAACTGGTAAAGTATGATTTATATAAAAGATTTTCTTAGAATTCAGCTCCATTAAAGCCATTAAACAGACCTGAGTCTGTGTCTGACCCAGGGAAAACTGAGCTATGTTTTGAAGCAGCAATTAAATACAGGTAAATTCCAGTATTTAAACAACACGCTCCCCGTCTTCTCTTTCAATAGTTTGTCTCCAGCACAGTGTAAGATTAACTGTCCTCTGGATGAGTGTCTTGTGTGGTCTCAACTCTCACCTTGAAGCTCAAAATCATGGTTGAATTATATAGCTTTGTACTAGACTTCTGATGTAAGTGAAGATTAATCTTTCCAGAACTACTGTTCTACAGTAAACTTCATCTCCAAGTATGTTCTTGGGATTGAAATAATGTGAAAAGTACTGTATGGGGACTGCTGACTTGTGGCCTGAACCTCTGATTGATCGCCTGAGGTGAGCAGTGAGTCAGCCATGGGAGCACAGGTGGAGGCAATTCACCTGTGCTGCAGGAGGGGGTGGAGCCTGGCTGCACCTCTCCTAGACCCATTGAAGAGCTGACTGCCAGTGGGAAGGATCTTTTCTGGAGATCCCTCCTTTTGGAGTTTTCCAGCGAGCCCAGGATAAGGGTAAGCCCTCCATCTATTCTTTTTTGGTGTAATAATTTGCTTAGCCAAACTCTCTTGTCTATATCTTAATTATAACATCTGTATAATCATTGATTATACAAGTACCATAAACTATGTGTTAAGCATATGTGAACATAATTCCTGTTTAAGGGCAGTCCTGTGCAGAACTTTCTGGCTTTGATGCATAGTGCTTTGACAACTATCCAGAAGGGTAAGAATGCCATGACTTCAAGTGAAGATGTTCTTGTATTTGCAGTGTTTGTATTTAAGCCAAATGAGCCACGGCCAATCTGTATCCAGAGAAAAATTTCTAAGGAAAGGATCCAGTTTGCTGCCTTTGTTCCAAGAGATGCACCTGAATCAATTGGCTCAGATAAATACCTTTGGCTAAGAAGATCCCAACTATTTTTTCTTACGGATACACAAGTAAGAAATAGTCACTGGTGGGGAAGGTGGTTCTTAAGGGATAAATAGGTACACAACTGCTGCCAAGTGTAAGAATTTACCTTTATGATTTCGAAGAAGAAAAAGCTGTACTTAATTTTTCTGTTAAAACTTTCCAATGCTAATACAGTTAAACACTGATTACTTACTGGTTTTCTACTAGTCAGAGTTTCCACTGCTTTGTGCTTGCAGGAAACTAAGTGGCATGGGAATGCTGCCTATGCTTTTTGTAGTGGAAATGCTAAGTTATGGGCTGAAGCAGTGATTGAGCACCTGGTGGGAAGACAAGGTCAACCCAGGGGGGATCAGGTGTAAGCAATGCACCTGAGTGACTGGGAGGGGAGGAGCCTGGATCCACCCCTTCCCAGACCTCATTTTAAGGGCTGGCAGTGGAGGTAAGGGGGTCTTTTGCTGGAGATCCCTGCCTACCAGAGGCCTTCCCAAGTTAAGCAACTCTTTTATTTCTGAATCTGTGGTGCTGCGTTTGGGCTTGTTCTCATTCTCTGCAGCCAGTGACTTTGCTACTGTGCTATCATTATCCCATTATAGCTTTATGCTGTTAAACTTAAATGTGAAGTAGTATTGCTGTAGTATTGCTAGTTAAGCAAATGATTCATATGATAATCCATTTTATCTGTTTTATTTGGGTGCTAGCTACTTGTTTGCTTTCTATTCCACCCAGAAAGGCTATCCAGAGCCTTTAGATCCATTCATGCTTCCTTTGGGTTCTTTCTAAAATAAAGACGTTTGCTGCTTCTGCTTGACCAACAAAAGCTTTTGGGTCAAACTTCTGCAGACAAGCTACTGAAATACAGAGAGCAGTTTCCTGTTTCTTAATTCTGCTACATCATTGTTTATTTTAGGAGCTAATGACAGTAAGCACAAAGTCTCTGGAAGAAAGGCTTACGCTGTCAAGCGAACAGGTAACTTTGTCAAAAGTTCTTTTAGGGGTAGGTGGAGCAGGTCCAAATTCTCTTAGTGTTTGTCAGATTCAAAAGCCTTTTGTCACTGAAGGACATACCACTTCCTGGCATGAAGCCACAGGCAATTATCTGAAGGGGCAGCTCTTCCTTAACTTTGGCAGAATTACTGTTCATAAAACCTTAAAATCAAGTATTAGGAAGCTACACTCTCATTTTCCTGATCTAAAGCAAGCTCTTTAATTTGGTCTCTTTAATGCTTGGAATCTAGAATATGGCACATTAGCAACTTTGTAGTGATGGTGAAAATGTTGTCAGTCCGTTTTGTTTTACGAGTGGGGAAAAAGCTGTGAAATAATTTCAGTGTGTACTTAAATGGAGAGGTAGTATGGGAAATTCAGTCTTATGAATTCACACTGAAGAATTGCTCCATGCCTTGTGAGACGAATAAAAGAGTGGCACTTGATGGAGTGATTGGTTAGGTAAAGTAGATGAGAATAGAAGCTAATATCTTTCCAAGATAAAACTCAATTGGAACGTGGTTGTAAGCAATCTGTTTGTGAGGGTTGCTGGTGTAGAAAAATGGCAGAAGGGAAGTTACCAAGTAGTACCTCAAGATGGGCAATTGGCTCATTCAGCAGATACTGGGGTATAAGTGATCTTTCAGTGAGAAGTGGTGTATAAAAGCCATATTTCAGTTTTTCTGGCACACGCACCAGCTTCTGGTTCTGGAATTTAGTTGGTGCATCAGTGCACTAACATCTGGTGTTCATACTGCTAGAAGAGCAAAAATTCAGATTCTAGAGAGTTCTATTAGCTCTGTGAGGAATTTATTGGAAAGGATGCCTGGGAGAGAATGGGTACAAAGAGCTGTGTCAAATAGCTCAGCTGAGTTAAACCTGAGCATGAGACTCTGTCACTTGGGTTGACTCTAAATTCTGCTTGAGTTTTGGTAACAGAAAATGAGGTGGGACTTACATCTGTGTTACTAAGTTCTAGTTAAAACTTTGTCCTTTCTCAATTACAAGATGCGTTTGGTTTTTTTTTAAATTCAAGCTGGCAGTAGAAGAAAGCCTTCCTGTGACCCCATTTAGCTTGCTGTTGGGAAAGCACAGGCATCAACAGTCACAGGGGGATGTAGACCTTGGAAAAATTGTTCGCCATCACCACGAGCAAGATTCCCCTGCTGTCAAAGAGGTAAGAGTCATTACAGTAAAAATATGAGCAAAATAATGGCAGGCAAAAATTTCCATGAAGCCTTTTTTTTTTTTTTTTTCTTCAGCTCCTGCATACTCCAGCGCATGTTTTGCCATCTGCTTCCTTCCTGTGCCCCATATTTATTAATTCATTGCTTGTCTCCAAAGAGAAGAAAAGGTAAGAGAAATTGGAAGGACTCTCCATGTTATTTAAGGTGAAATACATCTTTATTTAAAGTGTAAGACTGGTTTTCCAGCATGATTCATTATTCTGTTCATACAGGCGAGTAGAACATGTCATAGAGGCAACATAAAGCAAAAAAAAAAAAAAAGTTCAGATATGCAAGATGAGCTGCTGAACATATGGGCCTTTACATTGCTGTTGTTAGTTATCCTGTCATTTGGCATAATGTACTTTTAAGCAAAATGTGTACATAGATACTCCAAAGTTGTTTGTCAATTGAACTTTATTTCCAGGTAAGGATTGTAGAAGGCTAGAATGGCTTGAGTTGAAAGGGACCTTAAAATAATCAAGTTCCAACCCTGCTGCCGTGGGCAGGGCTGCTGCTCACTAGGTCAGGTGCCCATGGCCCCATTCAACCTGGTCCTGTGCACTTACAGAGATGGGGCATCGACATCTTCTCTGGGCAGTCTGTGCCAGTGCCTGTGGTGACCTTCTGAGAAAGGAACTGCCACCTGGTGACTAATCTAAATCTCCCCTCTTTTGGTTCAAAGCCATTCCCCCTTAGCTTATTATCAGGTTGTGGAAAAACTAACTCTCCCTCCTGTTTGTAAGCTCCCCTCGAGAACTGGAAGAGTGCAACAAGGTATCCCCAAAGCCTTCTGTTCTCCTGTCTGAAAAATCCCAGCTCCTTCAACTTCTCTCTGTAAGAGAAGTACTCCAACCTTCTGATCATCTTCATGGCTTCCTCTGGATTTGTTCTGACAGGTCCATGCCCTTCTCATGCTGTGGTCCCCAGACCCAGATGCAATCCTTCAGATGGAGTCTCCTGAGAACAGAGTAGAGGGAGACTTTTGACCTTCCTCCTTGCTGCTCATGCTGCTCACTTTTATCTTTTGATGCAGCCCAGGATACAGTTGGCCTTCCAGGCTGCAAGTTCACATGCTGATCTCATATTAGGTTTTTCATTCATTGATGCCTGCAAGCCCTCCTCTAGAGTGCTGCCTGTTATGCATTCTCTGCTCAGGCTGTACTCGTGTCTGGGTTTGCTCCAAGTCAGGTACAGCACCATGCACTTGTCCTTGTTGAACTGCATGAGGTTTGTGTGGGCCAGCTTTCAGGTGGGTTGAGATCCCTCTGGATGGCTTCTCTTTGCTCCAGGATGTCAACCTCACTCAGCTTAGTGTTGACTGCAAATTTGCCAAGCTTCTATTCGTTCCTGCTGAATATGTTGTAATGAAGGTGTTAAATAATGCTAGTCCTAAACTTAAGGTCTACGCTTAACAGTAGGTTTAGAATTCAAATTTCATTCCTAGTGAAGCTACAGAGTAAGATTGTGAAAACAGGCAAGCTTGTTTGACAGTACTGTAATCCCAGTTTAATGCAGTGATTCGATAAGTACTTAAAATGTGTGGATGCCTGCTCCTTTGAGATCAACGTAAAGTTCTAGAAAATGGATGCCAACACAAAGGTTATTAATCCTAATATAAGGCTGCCTTAATATCTTGACACTTAGACTGAATGCAACCGGGTAGTTCTGTTACTTGCTTGTATGATCTATTCTTTAAAGTGTTTCATAATCCTCTACCAAGCTGCAGATGAAAGTATGTCACTGGTATCAGCTGCCATCTGAAATTTGCAGACAGATGAAAGGATGGTTGATATAGCCAGAAGAAATGCTGGTTTGAGTACGTTTTACATGTACACTGTATTCTGCTCCTACAGCAGTGTGATCAGTTGTGCTGTGATAGCTCGTATGGCTAGCTTTCTTATGAGATTACCCAAGTAAAACTACTGTGATAACAACACAAATGGTAAAAATCGCATACAGAGATCATGTAGAAATTTGCATGCAGTTCCAGGACTGAAGAGTTTCGGAGTTCAGTGGCCTGTGCAAATATTTGCTGCTCTAGAGCTCGTACTTTGACACTGGTGATTAGTGTCACCAGAGCTTTTAAAGTTGCGTATGAGTCTAAGCACTGGTGGGTTGGGCAACTGTAGATAGCTGTGTAGAATAACTTCCTGATTGATGTTTCTCTTTGCCTTTTAAGTATAATTATAATGTATTACGTCTGTACCTTCAGTTTAGATTTTACACATGGTAAATGAGTTTATTAGAACAGATGATATTTAGGAGTATTCTTCTACCATGTAGAACTTGTTTAATGGTATCTAAAATAAGACTTAAGCGACAGACACTTGAATAGTGTATAATTACCACATTGCAAATGGTAACTTTTCTGTCGAACTCTTCTGAGTACACCGAGTCAGAAGGGAACTGCTGCTTAAAAAACCACTCTATTTCAAAAAAAATAAAGTAAAAATTCCTAAGAAGATCCTAGGTACTGTAGTGACTTTCTAGACCAAATGATCTTTTTCAGGACTGAAAGAGGAGACTGGCCTCCTTATTTATTGTCTCATCTGCCGGTTTGTTCTGTTTTTAATCCCACAGGGGTTGAAGTGATAACATTTTATGTAACATTTAATCTGCATGTTCTGATGATGTTAGTAGTTTTGGATTTAGAGAAAGAGAATGTACGCTTGTTAAATTAATGCAGAAGGTAGCTATTGGAAAAAAGCCTTGTGTTTGAGATGGCAAGAGAAGTACAGTAGTTTCTCAGAAGTCTTAGATTTAAGAACAAAAATTCCAGTACTCACTTGAAGTTATTTTTGTAATAACTCAGTGTATAGTATTACAACTGTCTGTTAACATCATTTTTTGTTGCCAATCGTATCCTTATACAGTGCTGAAGAGGCTCCTGCTGAAGTAGAAATGGAAAGTGAAGAAGCAGAGGATGATTCAGATGAGGAAACCGCTGCTACTGAAATGAAACAAGATGATACAATGCCTATGGAATCATTAGGAGAGACAACACATAAACTGTCTAAATCTGAAGAAAAAGAACTGCGAAAAATAAGAAAAACAGACTTCAGTTGGATATCAGTTTTCTAAACATGCTGTTTTTTTAATAGTGTAAGTTGAATCTTTGTGGATTAAATATTCTTCCAGAAATCTTTCAGTTGTTTGGCTGTGAATTTCAGCGACTTTTACTGCCCTAAGAAAAGAGAATGGAGGGGAGGGATTAAAGTTCTGAAAAAATGGCTCTGATCTTAGCTTTATGACTGATTCTCTTTGAGCTCAGAAAATGTTTAACCTGTATTTTTCCCTTTGCAAGTGCATTTAAAAGGCTACTAGCAAAACTGGATTTATTATGTGACTTGTGGTCAGTTACTGAATCTCCTCAGCTGAGACCAGGCCACTGAGGCCCGAGGAAGAGCAGCAAACAACTTGAATTTATGGACTATTTAATTCAAGATCTGGTAGGGCAATCTGGGATAGTTCTTAAAAGTGCTGTATGTGGGTGAGTAACAAGTCTCCCTAGAGGTTTGTCTGCTTCTGAGATGGTGGACAGGTGGTTTAATACCTTTGAGTCTAGAATGTATTTACCTCATGTGTTGTGGTTTTAATGTGTTTACTGGTGTTTATAGTGCTTGTGTGTATTTGGCCATAATGAAAACTACATTCCAGTCTTGTTCAACATCTTCATCAGTGACCTTGGTGAGGGGATAGTGGCCACCCTCAGCAAGTTTGCTGATGATACAAAGTTGGGAGGATTGGCTGACACGCCTGAAGGCTGTGCTGCCATTCAGCGAGACCTGGACAGGCTGGAGAGCCGGGCAGTAAGAAACCGGATGAGGTTCAACAAAAGCAAGTGTAGAATCTTACACCTAGGGAGGAATAATTCCATGCACCAATACAGGCTGGGGGATGAGCCGCTGGAGAGGAGCTCTGCAGAGAGGGACCTGGGTGTCCTGGTGGACGTCAGGCTGGCCACGAACCAGCAGTGTGCCCTCATGGCCGAAAAGGCCAATGGTGTTCTGGGGTGCATTAAAAAGAGCGTGGCCAGCAGGTCGAGGGAGGTGATCCTCCCCCTCTACTCTGCCCTGGTGAGGCCTCATCTGGAGTACTGCGTCCAGTTCTGGGCTCCCCAGTACAAAAAAGACAGGGATCTCTTGGAAAGCGTCCAGGGGAGGGCCACAAAGATGGTGAAGGGCCTGGAGCATCTCCCCTAAGAAGAAAGGCTGAGTGAACTGGGTCTGTTCAGCCTTGAGAAAAGACGACTGAGAGGGGACCTGATCCAGGTCTATAAATATCTGAGGTATGTTGCTTAAGGCCATAGTGGTGAGGCCAGTCTCTTTTCAGTGGTACGTGGAGACAGGACAAGGGGAGACGGACATAAGCTGCAGCATAGGAAGTTCCTCACAAATGTGCACAAGAACTTCTTTACAGTGAGGTGACGGAGCACTGGAACAGGCTGCCCAGGGGGGTTGTGGATTCTCCTCTGGAGATGTTCAAGTCTCGCCTGGACACCTATCTGTGTGACCTGGTGTAGGGAACCTGCTTTGGCAGGGGGGTTGGTCTCGATGATCTCTAGAGGTCCCTTCCAATCCCTACAATTCTGTGATTCTCCTGACTGCTGTACTACTGAGCCTCTCACACTGTAGCTGCAGCTTCTATGGTGTGGTGCTAAACGTGGATATTGTATCCAGTCATATTGCTATATAATGGCAAGCTGCTGGAAGTTGGGTTAATCACTAGAAGCCATGCTGAAAAATATTCAGATTAACTCTTGGAAACAGGAATGATGCTTCAAATATTCTTTGGCAGTGTAAGTGATGCTTTCCCTACTTAGCTACTGATTTCAGTACTGTGTTGAAAATAAAGTGGATGACACTTTATCTTCTTTTTTAACACCAGAAATAGAAAGGGAATTGATGGCAACTTCTTTTTGACAAAAGCTATCGTTTCATTATGTGCATGGACTACTCTAATTCTTAATCGAGCACCGAGGAAAGGACAGTATGGTGATTTTGCTATAAGGATAATTTTCTGTACTTTAATATGTATGTAGTTGTTTGGTCAGCTATTTACTGTGAGCAATTGTTCACATCTGTTTAAAGCATTTGATAAATGTTGTAGGATTATGTAGAATGATAGAGAGTTTTGGGACTGGTGCTCTTTAACATATTGATTAATGATATCAGTGGGGGACTCGAATGCACCCTCAGCAAGTTTGCTGATGACACCAAGCTGAGTGGTGTGGTTGACGTGGAAGAAGGAACAGATGCCATTCAGAGGGACCTCAACAGGCTAGAAAGGTGGGCCCAGGTGAACCTGATGAGGTTCAACACGGCAAAATGCAGTTTTGCACTTGGGCTGGAGGAATCCCAGGCATCCATACAGACTGGAAGGAGCAGTCCTTGAGCGCAGCCCTGTGGAGAAGGACCTGGGGGTCTTGATAGATGGAAAACTTAATGTGAGCCAGTAGTGTGCTCTTGCAGTTCAGAAGGCAAATGGTGTCCTGGGTTCCATCAAAAGAGGGGTGGCCAGCAGGGACAGGGAGATGATTGCCCCTCTCTACTCTGCTGTTGTGAAGCCCCATCTGGAATACTGGTCTGGAGCCCCTTGTACAAGGAAGGCAGCTGTTGGAGAGTGTTCAGAGGAGGGCCAAGAAGATGATCAGGGGACTGGAGCACCTCCCCTACAAAGACAGGCCTGAGGGAGCAGGGTTGATTCAGCTTGGAGAAAAGAAGGCTGTGGGGTGACCTCATTGCAGCCTTTCAGTACTGAAAGGGAGCCTACAAACAGGAGGGGAATCAACTCTTTGAAAGGATAGATAACAGCAGAACAAGGGGAAATGGTTTGAAGTTGAGGGAGGGAAGTTTTAGGTTGGATGTTGGGGGGAAGTTCTTTACTGTGGGTGTGGTGAGGTGCTGGAACAGGCTGCCCAGAGAGGCGGTGGATGCCCTGTCCCCGGAGGTGTTCAAGGCCAGGTTGGATGGGGACCTAGGCAGTCTTATTTATGTTAAATGTGGAGGTTAGTGACCCTGCAGAGATTGATGATCCTTGAGGTCCCTTCCAACCCTGACCATTCTGTGGTTCTGTATGCAGGAACTATCCTGGCAGGAATGAGTACTTCGTTCTGAGCCCAGTTTTATTAAGAGGACAAACAAACTCCTAAAGCTACTTGAATTATGTCCGTAATACGTGTTGTTGAAATGCCAAGGGTTGTTTGGAAGAAGTGGTTATTTCACTAGCTTTTCCTTGCAACCCTAGCAGAAGTGAAGCTGGGTTATGTGGACAGAAGTGTGGCGGGTAATATTAACTTGTTACTCCATTGAATCATACAATTGTTTGTGTTGGAAGAGACTGTTAAAGGTTATCTAGTCCTACTCTGCTGCAAACAAGGACACCTACACTTGATCAGGGCCTGTCCAGTCTGACCTTGAATGTCTCCAGGGTTGGGATTTTCACCACCTCTCTGGGCAACCTCTTCCAGTGTCTCACCACCCTTGGGTGTTTTTTTTGTTTGTTTTGTTTTGTTTTGTTTCTTTGTTTTAAAACAATCTAAGTCTTCACACTTTGTATTTTTGAAATCATTTTCCCTTGTCCTGTCCTAACAGACCCTGCCAAAGAGTCTGTCCCCTTCTTTCTTATAGCCCCCTTCAGACTCTGACAGGCCACAGTCAGGTCTCCCTGGAGCTTTCTTTTCTCCAGGCTGAAGCTGCAGCTCTCTCAACCTGTCTTCGTAGAGAAGGCGTTTCATCCCTTGGGTCATTGTTGTGGTCTTCCTCAGGAAGTGCTCTTAACAGGGTTGCATCTCTCCTGTACATCTGGATGCAGTACCTTCAGGTGAGGTTACACCAGCACAGAGTAGAAGGACAGGATCATCTTCTTGGACTCTCTGACCCAGGATACAGTGAGCTTTGAAGGCACGTTGCTGCCTCACATCCGGCTTCCATCCCTCAGCACCCTCAAGTCCTTCTTGGCAGTGCTGTGCTCCATTCTTACATCCTCCAGCTTGTATTGATGGTGAGAGTTGACACAACTCAAGTTGAAGATGCTGCTGTTGCATTTGCTGAACCTCAGGAGGTTCACCTGGGCCTTATGTTCAAACCTGCCTAGGTCACTCTGGATTGTGTGCTATCCCTCAGGTATGTCAAGCTGCAGGTAGACAGCAGGCTGATCTGGGGAGGAGGCAGTCAGGATCCCCTTCTACACAGCTCTTTATCCTGAAAAATGGAAAATGTTACATGGTAATTTCCTTGTTTCTCTGTTAAAGAGCTTCCACGTGGAAGAGTAAAGTAGATAAAATTAACTATCAGAAACCTGGGCTGAAGCACAGCAGAAGCAATTCAGGTATTTTCTTTTATCAAGTAGTTGAAATACCATATTGTCTTGTTACTTTTTTCCATGCCCTGGTCTTATTTCCTGGTTAAATCTAGTACAAAAGCTGTTCTGGCAAAGTTTGCAATTCACCAGAGTTCTGCAAAGGAACAGCTGTGGTCAGGCACTCCCCTTCCCGTGTACCCATCTTGCAGGATTACCTCAAGGTAGGCAGGCTCCTTGAACCTTGCGGGGATGTTGGGGCTGTCAGGGTCATAAATAAGCTGGGGCCTCACCAGCAGGTCAGTTACTGCACTGCCTGCTCAGCAGAGGGCCAGATCCTTTGCCTGCCAGCTGTGCTATACAGTCAGAGCTGTTCCCTGAGCCTTTGTGTGTACAGCTTGCTGATCTTGATGTCCTAGGCTTGTCCTTGTGGCAGATGAGGACAGCAGTATTAGCAAGACTATATCATCTGCGTGTAATTGTAACAGGGAAGACGTTTACAAAAATAGCCATATGTTTGTGCAGTAACAATGCAGTAACCCCCACCAAACAAAGCATTTGGCCCAGGAGTACCCATGGTATCCTGGCTTGTATCAGGGATGGTGTGGTGAGCAGGACTATGGAAATCATCCTGCCTTTATACTTGGCCTTGGTGAGGCCTCATCTCAAGTACTGTGTTCAGCTTTGGGCACCTCAATGCAGAAAAGACATTGAGATGCTGGAGCAGGTCCAAAGAAGGGCAACAAGACTTGCAAAGTTGGGCTTGGAGAATAAGGCCTACGAGGAGAGAATGAGGGAACTGGGTTTGTCTGGTCTGGGGAAAAGTCCTGGTCTGGGGAGAC